ATAATTTTTATTATGACCATAAAAATAACCCTGTTGTCAATTACAATTTAATTGGATATTTTAAAATAACTAAAAGTGTATAATTACACTGTTTGGAATAGAAAGGATAAATACTAGAGGTGATGGATACCTTATTTACCCTAATTACTACATATTATATGCCTGAATCAAAATATGCTCTATAAGACATATATACACATACTATATACTCAAAAATAGTAATAATAAATTACGAAAAAAGATTAAAAATTTAACTAATGGGAACAATATTCTTCACTTCATTTGCAGTTTAAAGCTACTGGCAAAGTGATTACTAGTGATGGTAGTCCACCATATGCCAAATAGTATACTTCTTTCATCTTTTACTTACACCATTGAGTATAGTGGGATAGGTTAAAGTTAGTGGCATAATAATGCTTCATTAAATGCACAATAGTTTTAAGATGGTAAAAAATAAAATTAGGCCGGGCATACTGGCTCACACCTGTAATCTCAACACTTTGGGAGGCCGAGGTGGGTGGATCGCTTGAGCTTAGGAGTTCGAGACTAGCCTGACCAATATGAGCAAACCCTGTGACTACTAAAAATACAAAAATTAGCCAGGAGTGGTGTCGCGCACCTGTAGTCCCCACTACTCGGGAGGCTAAGGCAGGAGGATTTCTTGAACTTGGGAGGCAGAGGTTGCAGTCATCGTGCTGAGATCATGCTGCTGCACTCCAGCCTGGGTGACAGAGCAAGACTCCGTCTCAAGAGACAAGTTAAATAAATAAATAAATAAAATATAAATTAAGTTCACACATAATCTAACAATTTTAAAATATATTACATTTTATTACATAACAGTAAAATTAGTAAAATAATACAATAATTGATTAACTATAATTTATAATTTCTTTCTCTCAGTATAATGTAGAAAAGTATTACTCTGAACACCTACCTTAAACATTGCTTAATTCAGGTTAACTACAATGAGCCTCTCCACTTATATTTTCATCATGCATCTTACATTTTAATGTCCTTACTCTTTTATAAAAAAGGTCATAAAGAATGTCCAATAAAGAATCTCTAATATCTCTGATGCAGTGACAATTGATCACATATGTTCACATGTGAATACAATAGAAATAAAGTAACAGCATAAAGTAATTTGAAAGCTGTATTACATCATTATTCACTTTTCAAAAAATTGTTTTCAAGGAAACCAGTATACTTTCAATGTAATTACAAAGCTTCAAAAAAATCTCCTTTTTTATATAGTTATATACAAATAGTTATATCAAAAGTTATATTCAAATAATTTGACTTTAGTTGTGAATTCATTTTTATACTCAACACTGTTATTTAGTGTAATGTCTGAAGTGTCAGTACCTTATTCTTTAATTCTCTGATATGTACATACAATTAATTTTGAATTAAATATTTTTTCATGTTGACTGCCTCTGCAAAAATATTTTTTAGTATAAACTCTGGTGTTTTCTTTTTTTTTTTTTTTTTTTTTTGAGACGGAGTCTTGCTCTGTCGCCCAGGCTGGAGTGCAGTGGCCGGATCTCAGCTCACTGCAAGCTCCGCCTCCCAGGTTCACGCCATTCTCCGGCCTCAGCCTCCCGAGTAGCTGGGACTACAGGCGCCCGCCACCTCGCCCGGCTAGTTTTTTGTATTTCTTAATAGAGACGGGGTTTCACCGTGTTAGCCAGGATGGTCTCGATCTCCTGACCTTGTGATCCGCCCGTCTCGGCCTCCCAAAGTGCTGGGATTACAGGCTTGAGCCACCGCGCCCGGCCAACTCTGGTGTTTTCTGAGCTGCACTTTTTTTTTTTTTAAGTGTTTCCAAATTCATTACATTTGCAAGACTCTTCTCCAATATAAGTTCCCTGATTTGAGCAAAGCTGCAGCAACTGCTTCAGGGTTTTCCTCTAGTACAAAATGTGTGCAATAAACCCCCTCTAAATTTGTAATGGTTGTCTTCAGAATAAACACTCTTCTTCACTTTAAAGGCTTATATTTTCTGAAAGACTTTTTGACAGTAATTGCACTTTTAATGCTTTTATTAACTATGAACCTTCTTATGTTGAGTAAGATGTGAGTAGGCATTCATGGGTTTTCCATATTCTTTATATTTGTACAATTTTTCTCAAGGATACTAGCTTTCCTGCGAAATAAGGTGTATACACTGACTAAAAGTTTTGCCACATTCTTCATGCTTGTAGGAATTTTGCCAGTATGAATTATCTTACTATCAAAAATGGCAACCATATAAAGGTTGTTTCACATTTTATATATTTCTAGGGTTTCACACTAATATAAATTTTTTATGTCTAGAAAGGATGGAGGTGTTGATAAAAGCACTGTCACACCTTTCACGTTTGTAGAGTTCCTCTTCAGCATGAATTATCACCATGTCTCTTAAGAATTAAAACTTGTGGCCAGGCATGGTGGCTCATGCCTATAATTCCAGCACTTTAGGAGGCCGAGGTGGGTGGATTATGTGAGGTCAGGAGTTGGATACCAGCCTGACAAACATGGTGTAATCCTGTCTCTACTACAAATACAAAAGTTAGCTGGGCGTGGGGGTGGGCACCGGTAATCCCCTCTACTTGGGAGGCTGAGGCAGGAGAATGGATTGAACCCAGGAGGCAGAGGTTGCAGTGAGTCGAGATTGTGCTGTTGCACACCAGCCTGGGTGATAAGAGTTGAAACTCCATCTCAAAAAAAAAAAAAAAAAAAAAAAAAAGAACTTGTTATATGCCTTGCCACATTCTTCAAACTTGTGGAGTTTCTTTCCAGTATGAATTATGTGTAATAAAAGTTGAGAAGTTCCTTAAAAAATTTGTCGCATTCTTTATATTTGTAGGGTTTATATTCCATATCAATTCTCATAGTTAGAATTGAGGGCTGGTTAAAAGCTTTTCCACATTCATCACATTCATATGGTTTCTCTCCAGTATGAATTATCTTATGTGTAGTAAGGTGTGAGGATAGGTGAAAAGCTCTGCCACATTACTCACATCTGTAGGGTTTCTCTCCAGTATGAAATCTCTTATGTGTAGTAAGTTTAGAGGAGCGCTCAAAGGCTTTGCCACATTCTTCACATCTGTAGGGTTTTCCAGTATGAATTTTCTTATGTGTAGTAAGGTTAGAGAACTGCTTAAAAGCTTTGCTGCATTCTTCACATTTGTAGAATTTCTCTCGCGTATGAATTATCTTACGTGTAGTAAGGCGTGAGGACTGCTTGAAGGTTTTACCACATTCTTCACATTTGTAGAATTTCTCTCCGGTATGAATTCTCTTATGTGCAGTAAGGTGTGAGGACTGGTGAAAGGCTTTGCTGCATTCTTCACATTTGTAGGGTTTCTCTCCAGTATGAATTTTCTTATGTGTAGTAAGGTTAGAGGAGTAATTAAAAGCTTTGCCACATGCTTCACAGTTGTAGGGTTTCTCTCCAGTATGAATTATCTTATGTGTAGTAAGGTCTGAGGACCGCCTGAATGCTTTGCCACATTCTTCACATTTGTAGGGTCTCTCTCCAGTATGAATTTTCTTATGTGTAGTAAGGTTAGAGGAGTACTTAAAAGCTTTGCCACATGCTTCACAGTTGTAGGGTTTCTCTCCAGTATGAATTGTCTTATGTGTAGTAAGGTCTGAGGACCGCTTGAAGGCTTTGCCACATTCTTCACATTTGTAGGGTTTCTCTCCAGTATGAATTTTCTTATGTGTAGTAAGGTTATAGGAGTACTTAAAGGCTTTGCCACATTCTTCACATTTGTAGGGTTTCTCTCCAGTATGAATTATCTTATGTGTCGTAAGGGTTGAGGACCGGTTGAAGGCTTTGCCACATTCTTCACATTTATAGGGTTTCTTTTCCGTATGAATGATCTCATGTTTACTAAGGGCTGAGGATGACATAAAGGCTTTGCCACATTTATCACACTTGTACGGTTTCTCTCCAGTATGATTTCTCTTATGGGTAGTAAGAGTGGAGGAGTGCTTAAAGGCTTTGCCACATTCTTCACATTTGTAGGGTTTCTCTCCAGTGTGAATTTTCTTATGTCTAGTAAGGCTGCAAAAGTAGTTAAAGGCTTTGTAGGGTTTCCCTCCAGTATGAATTTTCTTATGTGTAGTAAGAGTTGATAACTGCTTATAAGCTTTGCCACATTCTATATATTTGAAAGGTTTTTTCCCAGTATGTCCTCTCTTTTGTCTGTTTGAATTTGAAAATTGATGAAACACTTTCACATATTTATCACATTGAAATATTTTTCTCGGGGTAGTTGTCAAACACTGGTTAAGTTCATTATAACCTTCTTTGTGCACCTTGTGCACCTTCTTGTGCACCTTCTTGTGCACCCTGCACTCATCCACACTTTCAGGTCCTTTTTTTAACTGTAAATCGCCATGTCCACATTTTTCATACCTTCTCAGTATCACTTTTTGGAAAGTATCTTTTATGCTCTGCTCTGGCCAAAGGTCTTGGGCAAAATGAGAATATATAACTGAAAGAAACAACAAAAACACATTACTTCAATTGGTAGACTCAGATAAATATAAATATGTCATCTTGTATAAACTATAGTTTTATACAAACTACATAAGCAAGATGACACAGCAAAATACCATAGCTGTAATTTCTTCCTGGACATATAAATTTAACAAAAACATACTGACCAAAATACATTTGTAAAAAACTTATAAATAAGTTGTGAAGGGCCCCAGGTGAGCACAATGCAAAGGGCCAAATGGAAGATAATAGAAAAGTCTGTTACTTATACCCAACACAGCTGTTTTTGCTCTCCAGTATAACATTGTGCCTTTAAAAGCAAATTGTCGACTGGCCAGGGTGACTCATGCCTGTAATCCCAGCATGTTGGGAGGCTGACGTGGGTGGATCAGAAGGTCAGGAGTTTAAGACCAGCTTGACAAAGACGGTGAAATTCAATCTGTACTAAAATTCAAAAAATTAGCTGGGTGTGGTGGTGGACACCTGTAATCCCAGCTACTCAGGAGGCTGAGGCAGAGAATTGCTTGAACCTGGGAGGTGAAGGTTGCAGTGAGCTGAGATTCCCAGAATCTCTAGTTAAGACAATTGATTTCAGACTATGCCAGGACAAAGCTATATTACAAAGACTGTAACAGGTAGCATTTTGTTAATGTCAAAATCTCAAAGATTACAATAAATACAAAATATTAGAGCAATATGATCCCATCAAAGTTATAAAATTTTCAAAAGCAACCATAAAATGTATATAAAGTAATTTTTAAAATTCCCAGTAAACTGTACAGGTCAAGCTTGGTGGCTCATTCCTGGAATCCCAACACACTAGGAGGCCAAGGTGGGTAAACCACATTAGATCAGAGTTTGAGACCAGCCTGGCCAACATGGTGAAACCCTGTATCTACTAAAATTACAAAAACTAGCTGGGCGTGGTAGCATGTGCCTGTAATCCCAGCTACTTGGGAGGCTGACACACAAGAATTGCTTGAACATGGGAGGGGACGATTGCAGTGAGTGGATATTGTACCACTGCGCTCCAGACTGGGTGACAGAGCAAGACTGTCTCAAAACTAAAATAAAATAGGCTGGGCACATGGCTCACGCCTATAATCCCAGGAACTTAGGAGGCCGAGGTGGGTGGATCATTTGAAGTCAGGAGTCCAAAATTAGCCTGGCCAACATGGTGAAAACCCGTCTCTGCTAAAAATACAAAAACTTAGCCGGGCATGCCAGCAGCCACCTGTAACCCCAGCTACTTGGGAAACGGAGGCAGGAGAATCGCTGGAACTCAGGAGGCAGAGGTTGCCATGAGCAGATATCGCACCACTGCACTCCAGAGACTGGGCAACAGAAAAAGACTCCATCTCAGAATGAATGAATGAATGAATGAATAAATAAATAAATAAATTTGAAAAATATTAGGTAAGTGAAATAGATAAGTACTGAAGATAAAAATGAGGATAATAATAAGAAATATTAAAATAGCAAAAAACAAAAATTGTGGATATAAAAAATTCAAAAAATAACTGAAAAATTTCTTAAAAGAAAAATTAATGTAAACATGAAAAAGCTGAACAAACTAGGATACACACGAAGATATTTATAACAAACACACACACAAGCAAAACTTCAAAACTCACAGATAAGAAGAGAAATTTTAGGAGCTGCAATGTAGGCAGATGTAATGATGAAGAATTTTTGTATTCAACTGAAGTTTATTTTTTACCACATTCAAATATATTGTTGGATCTTTTAGAGGTTTCATGTAATCCCCAAGGTACTGCCAAGAAAATATTTGTATGGATACACAAAAGAAAATTTAAAGAATCCTGAATGCATACCAATACAAAAATCAAAAAAACACAAAAACCACAGAAAGAGAAAAGGAGAGACAAAGATACAAGAATCAAATATAACAATTAATAAAATAACATTAGTAAGTTTTTCTCTTTCAGAAAACCATTTAAATACATATATAATTATCTTTCCAATCAAGAGATATACTTTCAATAAACAGGTTTATTAAGAAATTATAAAAATCAAGATTCAACTTGCCTTTCTACAAGAGTCAGCTGAGATCTAATGACAAAAAAAGACTGAAAGTGGCAAAACGGAAGTAGAAATTTCATGTAAATATTAACAAAATGAGAGGAGAAGGGGTCAAAATAATATTACACAAGCTACATGTTAAGTTAAAAACTGTCATACTTTTTAAAATGTACTTTAAGTCAAAACTTCAAAAAGACAAAGAAGGACATTAAAAAAATATATAGATTCATTCACTGGGAACCTATTACAAATTTGTATATACATGTGTGTATTTATGTGTGTGTGTCTCATATTGGGGTTTCAAACATAAAGCAAATACTAACAAAACTGAATAAACACAGAGAGAGCAATATGATTATAATATGACATTTCAATACTCCACTTTCTTTAATAAAACAAGAGAGAATATTAGTAAGGAAACAGAAGGCTAGAAGGCAGTAAAAAACAATGATTTCTAATGAAGGTATAGAGAACACTCCTCAACAACAACAGAATACACAGCCTTCTCAATAGCTCATACAACTTTCTTCTTTATAGACCACCTGTTAGGCCAAAAACAAAGCCTTAACACATTTTTTAAAACTGAAATTTTATAGATCACTTTCTATAACAAAAATGGAATTAGAGTATAAAACAATAATATAAATAATTGATAAATTTAAAAATATATAGAAATGATACAACACACTATTAAGCATGCACTTGTTGAAATTACTGGGCTGGGTGCAGTGGCTAATGCCTGTAATCCCAGCACTTCGGGAGGCCGAGGTGGGTGAATTTAACTCCATCTCAAAAACAAACAATCAAAAAAGGAATAATATTGTGAAGATGTCTATACCGTTCAATTTAATCTACAGAATTAATGCAATATTTTTCAAATTTCTCATTGCATTTTTGAATAAAAACAGCAAATCCAAAAGTATATGGAATCTAAAGAGATAATAAAGTACCCAATAATCTTCAAGGAATAATGTTGGAGGCATTACAATTTCTGATTTCTAAATACATCAAAAAGCTACAGAATTAAAACAATTTGGTATGAGTATAAAAGTGAAAAAGTAGACCAATAAAACAGAATGCAGGCCGGGCACAGTGGCTCATCTGTCTCTTATACACATCTAGATGTGTATAAGAGACAGGGTCTGAGGACCGCTTGAAGGCTTTGCCACATTCTTCACATTTGTAGGGTTTCTCTCCAGTATGAATTCTCTTATGTGTAGTAAGGTTATAGGAGTACTTAAAGGCTTTGCCACATTCTTCACATTTGTAGGGTTTCTCTCCAGTATGAATTATCTTATGCACAGTAAGGTTTGAAGACTGGTTGAAGGCTTTGCCACATTCTTCACATTTGTAGGGTTTCTCTCCAGTATGAATTATCTTATGTGTCGTAAGGGTTGAGGACCGGTTGAAGGCTTTGCCACATTCTTCACATTTATAGGGTTTCTTTTCCGTATGAATTATCTCATGTTTACTAAGGGCTGAGGATGACATAAAGGCTTTGCCACATTTATCACACTTGTACGGTTTCTCTCCAGTATGATTTCTCTTATGGGTAGTAAGAGTGGAGGAGTGCTTAAAGGCTTTGCCACATTCTTCACATTTGTAGGGTTTCTCTCCAGTGTGAATTTTCTTATGTCTAGTAAGGCTGCAAAAGTAGTTAAAGGCTTTGCCACATTCTTCACATTTGTAGGGTTTCCCTCCAGTATGAATTTTCTTATGTGTAGTAAGAGTTGATAACTGCTTATAAGCTTTGCCACATTCTATATATTTGAAAGGTTTTTTCCCAGTATGTCCTCTCTTTTGTCTGTTTGAATTTGAAAATTGATGAAACACTTTCACATATTTATCACATTGAAATATTTTTCTCGGGGTAGTTGTCAAACACTGGTTAAGTTCATTATAACCTTCTTTGTGCACCTTGTGCACCTTCTTGTGCACCTTCTTGTGCACCCTGCACTCATCCACACTTTCAGGTCCTTTTTTTAACTGTAAATCGCCATGTCCACATTTTTCATACCTTCTCAGTATCACTTTTTGGAAAGTATCTTTTATGCTCTGCTCTGGCCAAAGGTCTTGGGCAAAATGAGAATATATAACTGAAAGAAACAACAAAAACACATTACTTCAATTGGTAGACTCAGATAAATATAAATATGTCATCTTGTATAAACTATAGTTTTATACAAACTACATAAGCAAGATGACACAGCAAAATACCATAGCTGTAATTTCTTCCTGGACATATAAATTTAACAAAAACATACTGACCAAAATACATTTGTAAAAAACTTATAAATAAGTTGTGAAGGGCCCCAGGTGAGCACAATGCAAAGGGCCAAATGGAAGATAATAGAAAAGTCTGTTACTTATACCCAACACAGCTGTTTTTGCTCTCCAGTATAACATTGTGCCTTTAAAAGCAAATTGTCGACTGGCCAGGGTGACTCATGCCTGTAATCCCAGCATGTTGGGAGGCTGACGTGGGTGGATCAGAAGGTCAGGAGTTTAAGACCAGCTTGACAAAGACGGTGAAATTCAATCTGTACTAAAATTCAAAAAATTAGCTGGGTGTGGTGGTGGACACCTGTAATCCCAGCTACTCAGGAGGCTGAGGCAGAGAATTGCTTGAACCTGGGAGGTGAAGG